TTGTAACGTGTCGATCCGTGGCGACCCTCCCAGACCGAGAAGCCGGACTGGCGGGTCTGGGAGGAGAAACCGGCCAAGACTCTGTTTTCGGTACGTTAAACTTTTGTTGTAGCAACTAACATGTAATTACTAAATACTAACTCCAGTCTTCTGTCATTTTCTAGATTTAATGTTTATATTCTACCATTGCAAGTTGAGGTGACTGGTGACCTATGCCAAGCCAGAATGTATACAAAAAACAACTCAAAGATACAAATTTTATTATTTAGGCTAATGGAATAATTAATTTCAGCTGTCAGAGACCGGGACACCTCATCAGGGACTGTGTTCAACCCTATCCCTCCCGCCAACCCGCCAACCGTCAAGTTAGCAGCAATTCTAAAGAATACTATCCTCTCAATGACATTAGACGTGTATTTAATAATATGATCAAACGACTACAATATTTTGGTTCCTATTTCAGTTGTCACTGAAGAGATCATGTTTTGATTGAAACATTTGTTTGACGTAACCCGTCGTTTCAATTTGTATTATATTTATATTGCTTATTATCAATAATAGTCAGTAAGAAAATTATTTTAAAACAACAGAAAATAGAAGCTAAATATTTCATATCTGATTATTTGATTTCGGAAAGGACCCCCAGAAATGGAATAAAACAAATGATATTGATTTTCAAACGGTTTATAGAATATGATGTTCAGACTTCTCACCAGGCTGAGAGAGGACGATCCCGACCAAGAGGCAAAACACTGATTCATCAGTCATGTCTACATTTAATTTCTCGAATTGTAACGTGTCGTCCGTGGCGACCCTCCCAGACCGAGAAGCCGGACTGGCGGGTCTTGGGAGGGAGAAACCGGCCAAGACTCTGTTTTCGGTACGTTAAACTTTTTGTTGTAGCAACTAACATGTAATTACTAAATACTAAACTCCAGTCTTCTGTCATTTCTAGATTTAAAGTTTATATTCTACCATTGCAAGTTGAGGTGACTGTGACCTATGCCAAGCCAGAAATGTATACAAAAAACAACTCAAAGATACAAATTTTATTATTTAGGCTAATGGAATAATTAATTTCAGCTGTCAGAGACCGGGACACCTCATCAGGGGACTGTGTTCAACCCTATCCCTCCCGCCAACCCGCCAACCGTCAGTTAGCAGCAATTCTAAAGAAATGGAATTGATAATTAAATTGAAGTATTAAAATAAACTTATAACGTTGAGACATTTAATTCATTAATAAAGTTTATATCGTAGCGTATAATTTGCTGGCAGAAAGTAAGGAAAAAAGCAAAAAAAGGAAAACTAAGCAATATTTACTACTAAGTTTCATTTCGGAAAGGACCCCCAGAAATGGAATAAAACAAATGATATTGGATTTTCAAACAGTTTATAGAATATGATGTTCAGACTCCTTACCAGGCTGAGGACGATCCGACCAAGAGCAAAATAAAATTAAAGCTAAAGTTTTCGGGGAGTGGAATTTCGTACCCGCCTAAAGTAACGGTAAGTCATTATTAAATTTTCACCTAATGCAGCAGGTGACGTCACGTGATGCAGCAGGTGACGTCACGTGATGCAGCAGGTGACGTCACGTGATGCAGCAGGTGACGTCACGTGACGGCAGGTGACGTCACGTGACACCGTGACTTCTCCAACTAATCAATCGTGTTAAAGTCTACTAATTAGTTCCTTTAAAAGCACTCAATTGTCTTCACAGAACAAATCAAAATCCCTCCTGGCCCTTCCAAATATGTGGTGCCAGGGAGCACGGTAATTACAGATATGTGGACGGTTATTCTTCAGGATTACGGATACATACTCTTTGCTGTTATGTAAATCATTCAAATTGGCAACACCCGTTTGTCGACCCGAGGACTGGCACGAACTCGTGATCAACAAATTGGCCTTATCATTAATAGTCATAAAGAAAATTATCTCAAAAGTCAAAACAGCTAAACCTACATTGATAAAACTGTCGGACGAAAATGGAAAAGTCAGCACTCCGGCAGCAGTAGCAGAAAAATTAATGATCACTTCTCAAACATCCCTCCTTCTGGTGGGACCTAGGGGACACTTCGCAGCCCTTCTCCAAACAGTATCTCTACATCAATATACACACGATATCTAATCTTGTGTGAGTTTTTGACTTTGAATAGATAATACTTACTATACCTTTGTGTCACTGTTTAGGCCGGCTCTCTCACTTTTTCAACCTTTCTTGATTGATTGAAATTCAGCACAGACAGGATGATATTAGGCAAACTTAGGATTGTTATATTTTACTAACGTCTCCCCACTTTAGCAAATATGCATTCTCGATCCAGATCTCGTACTACCAGATCAAGATCACCCAGACCCAGAAGAACCCGCTCCCCCTCACCCAATGGATCTCGGCATCGCAGCAGGTCACCCGGCGCGACCCGAGACAAAGAATGGACTGAGGCAGGCAGAAGCCGGAAACACCGGCCGGCAAAAGATACAGGAAAGTCAAATGATAGGTTATCGGTTGCAGGATCCAGCAAGGATAGGAGGGCAAGTAGGGTGATCAGGGTTTCCGCTGGTCACGTTAATGTGATCAGAGGAACAGGCGGGAACTTGGTAATATATTTTTGAGTAAACATTGGTTGGTACTTCGGGCGGGTCCCCAACAAAAAAGTTTTGACTTAATATTTCAACTATTCCAGAACTCAAAAACATTGACGAAAGAATCAGATAAACGGAAAGTAAAGTTGACTTGAATTTTGAAGATGTAAAAACGGCCTTAGGGAATTTTTCAATTATTTTTCAATTTAACCCTATTTCTCGTTGCATTTTTACTCATATGTTTATTGGTTGTATCCATAAAATTATGTAAGTGTTGCCTTAGAGATGAACGTTATCTCGACTTCGATTATGTATGCTAATTTTTACGGATATTGATTTTCCTTCGAGAACAATGTATTATGTATTTTTATAATAACTATTATTAGACTAATTTTATTATTACATATTGTAATATCAAGTGCTCCGTCCGAGGCAGGGAGTGCAAACGTGTAGCCATTCTCACAAAACTTAGTGATGTTGTAAGCCTCATCAAACACTATAAAAGAGTTGTTAATCAGGGACTTGAACCTGTGTTGTAGGTTCCTATCTGTTAGATAATTGTAAGGGAGGAGCACTACATCAGCGCTCTGCGCTAAGAACTGCGCGGAGTAGTACGGACACGTCTTATTACATATTGACAAAGGGAGAACAATGTATTATGTATTTTTATAATATCTATTATTAGACTAATTTTATTATTACAAATTGTTTGGACATCTCAGAACAATATAGAGGATAATTTGGCCTGCTCTAAAACAGAGCCACAGTGACGTCATAATATATAACGGCCGCTACAAGGTTATGAGAATGATTATTAGTAGTAAACTAGTAATTATTGCTTAATCACTCTCCGTTATTTTAAAATAGGTAGTTCTTAAGTTCGCTAGCATTTGGTTAGCTCTGTCATCTTCTTTTATTAACAAGTAGTTTTATATTATTTCATATTATAATCGATCACCCTCAAATAGCCAACAGTATTGAGATGACAAGTACAGAAAGCAACGTTGTTATAAAACCGATTGAAATAACTAAGCTTAAGGTAGAGGTGAAAACCTCATCAAGGAAGAGGATCTAAGCACCGTAGAATCATTAACTATTAAAGAAAACGAAGGATATCCCTCGATTATTGTGGTAAGTTTGATTGATGGTATATTGTATTATTTACTCTTATTTGCTCTCGATCATCTTAATTGAATGCAATTTCTTCAAGGTTTTTTATAAACAATTGCATTCGTATTGGTCTGATATATGAATTATAAGTTGTACTCTCTAACAGGACTTAAAGACTGTTAGCGATTTATTATGGAACAACGAGGAGCCGGCTGCAGACACGGGGATTCTATTTTCCAATATAGTTTAATATTTCCATTATTATTATCTAACTTTTAAAACAATCTCGAAATAGTAAATATGATATATGAATTATAAGTTTACTCTTTAACAGGGGCTCCAAACCATATCAGACATGCTATGGGCCGACGGGGAAGAACCCGTGCCCGATTCCCGGCAACCGGTAATTCTATTCTCGCTGTAATCCACTCGATAATATATATAACAAAGGGCAGACAAGTCAAGGATAGATATCAGTATTAGATTAATCCTGATCCAGCTTAGAAGAAAGGGATGTAACCGGATACTAATTATCTTATCAGAAGCTGGGGAAATGCTTGGAATTCCACTTTCAAAACTTATTCTCGAGGTATAAAGTTCCTCCCAAAATGTCTATACCAAAGAAATATCAAGCAAAGTTTCAAGAGATGATATTACAGCTAATTTCAAGACCGATAACTATCTTGAAAATCCAGCCAACATGTACGCTAGCTATGGAAATTGGAAAACTACCGGGGACTACTCACTACATACAGCTGAAGCATCGTTCAAACCGAATATGGAGAGCCAATCCAGGAATATTATATCAACTAAAAGCGATTTGGAAAGAAAGATGTACTTTGTGTCGATATCAAAAAATAGATTTTAAAAACAACAGTAGGATCATTAGTGTGGAACATGGAGCTTTTTCAAGTTTTTCAATTAACTCAATAAATTTAGTAAAAAGCTGTAATCGATTTTGACATGTATAGGATAATAGAAAGAAACGGCTACAGATTCTCATTTAAAATATTTAATCTAATTAATTATAACTTTTTGTCTATGCTATTTATAATTCATGATTCTAAAATATATATATTATAACAAATGAGGATACAAATTTCAGCAATACCAAATAACCCTAACAGTTAACACTTTATGAACCAGATATATATTGATTACTTATAATATATTGATTACTTATGTATGGATTTTAATTCTAAATCTTTATAGGGGTTTTATACACACAATGAGCGTTTCACTTCGATGATCGAACCTGACAACGTAATAAAGGACATATCTGAACCATTAATTGGGCTTACCTCATCGTTAAAAGCTTTTACAGGTTCAGGAAGGGAGCCCATCTCTCTTGTCATTCCTTGTCAGCTACAAAATACATGCTATCAAAGAGGATATGTGTTAAATCTCAGATCAAAACAAATTTTAAGATTTATTTATTATTGAAAAAAGAATTTTATGAACTGGATGTAGATCATGCACAATTGACATTTCAGTATATCTATATAAAACACAGTTTTACAGGGAAACCTCCAGAAATACTATGGTACTGGGAGTGTCCTGCAATGGGTGGAGTTCTATCCCCCTGCCTCCTTCACCCCGGCCCCTTCCTAAAAATTCTGTCCCAACTGAGAACTAGACAAAAATATTATGAAAAGCCATGTTCCTGATAGAGATTATCACATATGTTACAACAGAGTATGATACCTTATTTCAGTACAGATAAACCACGCCTCATCTTGATTTGCACAACTATGCAGAGTTTCAACAATGAGGAGCATGGCAACGTCATGTACTAATTCAATTTTTGGGATAAAAGTGTTGAAAAATGTTTCCACATTTTTCAACACTTTCTGAGTGACTGTGTGGCCATTTAAATTTGAACCTTGGTTAAATAAGGTTTATAACTCAAGGGCACTTCTCAAAGGCATCTCAACATACAGGGTAAAACCAGCTAATCTCACAAATTAGGTAGTTTATGAAATTAACAAAATTAAACTATTGATAGGCAGCCAGGTTAAAATTAATTAAGTGGATGAGTCATCTCGTTTTGCCTTGTATTTACTATTTGTGCCTACTATTAACACTTCTCTAATAGCAGATAAGGGTTGTGCAAATTCTTCATTAGATTATTATTAAAAATAAACTAAAATCAAAACTCAATAAATTTTACAGTACATAACTTATTTATGACAATTTTCTTGCTCCACAAGAGTTCCTTTCAGCAAAGATGCTTCTCTACACAAGAGAGTCCACCCCTCAGCTTAAAGGAGTACTCTCTCCTCCAGACGATCCTGTAAGGGATCGTCTCAGCTCAAAAAATGCGGACCTTTAAGTAATCCTTCACATGAAGTTCTTCTAATAATAATGAATCTATACAGTTACATAACTGAAACAACCATGTCCTTTATTGTGGGCAAAATGTGTGTACTGTATAATTTATGCTCACTGTAGAAGATTTCAGGGATAAAGCTTAACTGAATCCACATAAATTCCTAGTGAACGAAAGTGTATCTACTTTATGATATCTATTCAAACTGACCCTATAAGCGCATTTCATCCTTCTAGACAAGTCTCTCAAGGTGTATCTTTCATCATTCGGATAGGGCAACATGTTTTAAAATAAATCTTGTAACATGGTATATTTACCACCTTAATAATTTGCTTTGCAACTTGCTTGAAGAGAACTGCTAGCACTATCAGTCCCAAAAGTGCAGAGGCCGCTGTTGAGGGCGTCCGGGCGTTATCTGGTGCTTGGAAAAGAAAAGTATTTGGAAATATTGCGCAGAAGTACTACAACAGAAGTGGGTTTGCTCTGAGCCAGGTAGTGACAGCTTCAAGACTCCAGGGGTCTGTTGCGTACTGCGTAGATATCGATTTGTTTATGATTATCTATAAACTTTGGGAGTCCTGGCGTGCAGCTAGCGGGAGTTGCACTCTGAGGGCACAGCGAGAAGGCTTCCTGCTTACTGCAGGAGGCCAGCGTCTGTTGACTGTAACCAAGAGAGAGAGATTGCAATATAAAGCAATTGTTATTTTACTCAAACATTTGAATGTAAGCGCATACAGGATCTTTGTGAAATCATGTTACATACTGGAAATTTATACAATCAAGGGCTTCCAGGACCCTTTGGCGACCATGTGATTTGAACTATCTGCTATCATACTGCGCGGCTGAGATTGTACACCTGTGGTGTCCTATTTCACTCATTTTATAAGTTTCCGTTTTTGTTACACCTGTCGATTTTGTTACACTTGTCGCCTGTTACACATAACATAGGGCACAGGCCCAGTGTGTTGTGTGTAAAACATGTGGGCATGTGCTAGCATAATATGGATGGTAAGTTCTAGCTGCAATGTAACATTTGAAATCCTGCCTTACATTAGAATGATTTATTTAATTAATTAGCTTTCTGCTGTGGTATTGTAAGCAGTTATCGGCAAATAACCTCTGGCGGTTGGGGGAGCAGCACTACACAAGCCCCTGAGCCACCTATGCAGAGTGCACACTACGACAATAAATTCTTTGACAGACAGGATAGCGAGATAGTTCGTCATCATAGTTGTTGAGTGCTCATTGCTCATGGATCTACCTCAACTTTTGCACTAATACCCAGAGGATTATTTAATCTAGCACTAACTCCTGTGGTCAACTTGGCTGGAAGTTGGGAAAATCCGTGTTAGAGAGTTAGAGATTTAATCTAAAAGGGGAAGCTGCTAAAATATCTTTGATCTGCCAAGGATACCATTCAATACACATGTAGGGCATTGTATGTACATTGTACAATGAATATCATGAGTACCCCATGAAGCGAGAAATATTAAGGGGAGTTCAGAGGCGGCTATTGAGGGCCCATCTGGTGGCTGGTGTTAAAAAATAGAAATAGTAATTGGTAATACTGTTCGGAAATAACTTATCGCAATACGATGCTCTTTATTCACTCAAACGTTTGAATGAAATCGCACGCATGATCTTTGTGAAATTTTGTGTTGTTGGTTGTCCAATCCTATGTTTGGACGACTAAGCCGCGCAGTTTTAACATATAGTTAATTGTAAACGGTACAAAGCACATCAAGCGCATCCCACTACAGGTAATCTATATGATTTGCTCGTCCAGGACACCTTGCAATTTGAACTATCGACTGTTATGATACTGCGCGGCTGAGATCGTACACGTGTGGTGTCTTGTTTCACCCATACTGTAAGTTTTTGTTTTTGTTTGCTGTTGCCTGTGAAGTGTAACACATTACATACATGAGGCCCTGTGTGTGATGCAATCGGTAGTTTGGAGGGAGCTTGGGCCGGCCCCAAGTTGAAGTCCCCCCACCCCCTCCCCTCCCCAGTCCGTCGATTGGACACGCAACAAAACTGCCAGCCACCTCCCAAGAGCCGCCTCTGGGGGAGTTATCCCATAATTTTCAGAAGAGACTATTTGTGGGTTTGGCAGTAAAACCAAAGTAATATCGTCTAAACCAAGCTAAAATGATCTATATCAATGTATAGTAATCTAGGTAAACTATAGGTAAAAATATAATATTAATCATAAGCTAAAATGTACTAATCTTTGTATTCTAAATGGGGAAAAGAAGAAACATTGTCAGTCAGTCGAGAAAATTGTCAGTCAGGCTATATGGCAGCTTTGTAGATGTTGTGACTATGCTAGTAGTGGTCCCAGGCTTGCGACTGGAATTGCGGTGTTAAATCGATTTAATGGTATACCAACGATCCACCTCCCACTTGTTGTTTGGTACTTAGCATTAATAGTGTTAGCTGTAGCCATTTATAGCAAGAATATTAAAACTAAAGGGGATGACAAGGAAAAGAGGAAGGAAAAAGAATAACGGAACAAACAATTAATTAAAGTATTTATTGGAGCATTAGTTATTGTAATTACAAGCTTCAATAATAAATCACTGAGTACTGACCAAAAAATAACTCTGACCAAATAATAACTCTAGCCAATCTGAATAACTCACAATACTTCTTCAAAGAGTTAAAAAAAACAGAAACGCTTGACGGAGAGAAAGTAACTCACCAAGAAAGCTCCGTCAAAGGATCGTAATAATAATATTAATAATAATAATAATTCTAAACAGTTACATAATTGAAACAATTATGGCCCCTTATTGTGGGGAAGGATCGTAAGCTCTAGCAGGTTTCTAGAGTCTGTAAAACAACCATGCTTAAGGAAAACATGGGGTTACAGACTTCCACAGAAGCTGCCGAAATTGCTTCTCAGGAGACTAGTATCTTCATCATCATGAGAGGCTGCACAAAGGACTAACTTTAAGAGCCTCCTTAGCAATTAAGAAAAGACAATTTTCGCCAATATCTCGTCATGGGAGCATTTTAACCCTATCTCATGGGGGTGATTCGGAATCAACGTCCAAAATTACATCGATTGAAGTTGGATTTTGTTGGCTACTACTGGCTAGATCGGCGAGAGGCGCTACTGTGCCGCGCCGAGCTGCCATGAATTGACATCGTCAATTAAAGTTGGATTCAACTAAACTGTCGGGGGCCCTTTTAGAACAATCTCGAAAATCGACTGTAGAGTGATTTAATACGCTCGATATTGGTGGCAATATGCAAGGGTCCATTTCAGCTGCCTAATGTATTCTGCTCTGCCAACTGCAACACTCGATTTCATTGTATGTATATAATGTTTAAAGGACCCGGTAGTATTTAAGGAATTTCTTCATAGAAAGTTTATTTCTTCAAGAGCTTATGTAAAATGGAAGGTCATTTACTAGGCTTCCAGTCTTCTTATTTAGTCCCCCTTGATGGTTAAGGCTTTATTGTAGATTTACAACCTACCAGGACGCGCGCCGAGTTGGACTCGTCGACGGTTCCAATATATGGAACAGATATTTTACGAGTATCACCCGTTAAAGGCTTTACCGCTTCTCTACAAATGATTTTCCACAAAGCCCCAAGAAAATAAATTTCTAGAAGAAGCACGTTTAATGGGTTGTATTCTGTAAAATATTCAAATAAGATTAAACGCTAATAAATTTTATCTTGGCACTTACAAATACAATTTTAAAAAATAACCGCAGGCGAAGCGCTCGATTAAATAAAAAGATGTATAGATGAACAAACAATAAAAATATGCGCGGCGTGAATATAATTTTGTGTTTTATTCAAACTTACCTTGTATCACGTCGTGACACCCATTGTCGTTTAACTTACAATATAGGTGAGCCGCGCACTCGTGCGCAGCGGGTCATACAACGTATAACAAAATTTACCAAGCGGCGCTCAGCATGTCACTCAATCCACTTTCCAAAAATTGCTATGAAGGTCTGATCGTTTTTTAAAGTGTTCCGAGTGATTTGCATAATATTTTGCATAATATATAAAAGGATATATATATTTATGTTTTTTATATATTATATTTTATACCTGGGGACCCAGTTATATTGATACATGTTTCGTATATCCCAAATATCGGAGGCGCGCGCTTCGCTATATTTGCAGGATACGTGCAATTTGGTCATCAGTCATGGTATGTTTGTAAATGTGTTCATTGTTAAATATGGATTGACCCGGTGCGAGCTACTTGTTAGCACTTGCCTAGAAAAGAAAACGGTACGTGCTTCTTCACTTAAAAATTTGTTTCATTTAAAAACTTCTTCGAAAAAATGTGTAAAAATATCATCTGTCAATTGTAAATGTTACCTGGGGACCCCAGGCTATTATGTATTACTATTATGTTCATTAATATAGAGAATTAGGCGGAATGACAGGCTGAGCGCGGCCCAGTAATTGTAAATGTAAACAAGCATTTTATTAACAATAAATTGTAAATATTTGAAGACTTTGCGGCTTCGACGCGCGCCACGCAAACTAGCATTCTTGTTTTGCATCAACGTTATAAAACTGCTATATAACTTAAATAATTTGAGTTCAGGGAAAATATGTCGTAGTAAAATAAAATACCACACAGGGCAAAGGTATTCAGATGTTCACATAGCCATGTGTATACGCGTACTGTGTGACGCGCTTGTTTCACGGCGGTCGCGCGCTACTGCAAGCGAGAGGGCTCTGGTCGCGCTACAATGCAATTCATAACTGCTCATATGATATAAACAGAAATATAATTACTAAATTCAGGTATGGAATACTTAAGTTACCGATTTTGGAGATCATGTTTGTATTGCTGTCTATACAATGACGTAGTAGTGATGCAGAATTATGACATTTGAAGTTGACACACGCTGCAACCCCTTTTGATTGCGCGCGAAATTGTAGGTTTATAACCTACCAGGACGCGCGCCGAGTTGGATTCGTCGACGCGGTCCTGGATATGGAACAGATATTCAACGAGTATCACCCGTTAAGCGCGAAAGGCCGCAAAAGGCCGGCGTGCACGAAAGGTATACAACGTGTCGTGTAGCAAGACATCACCATGCAAACTTGTTAGTTATAGGCAAGTTTCCACAATTATTATTTTCTATATTCTGCAATAATAATCGCCTAATACATAATAAGCGCTTTTTTGGCAGTCTGAGCGCGATCAAGTAAGTTTCATTTCATGCAAGGTTTTCTGGAATTAATTATTATTAAATTAGAGGTTGACGTGGTAATTATGCGATGAAATTATAATTTACAATTCTCACTTTGACCTTATTCATCAAAACACGAAAGTTATTTCGCAGTTATTTTCAGACCGTATAGTGACCAGGTCGTCTTAACCCTTAAATTAATTTCTGTCTAACATGTACATTATTCCCACCCAAATATATAATAAAACGATATTATTTCATCTAATTTTAAAATAACACAAAATTTTGTTATCGTATTATATTAACATGCAATACATCATACAATTCCATTCAAAATGATATGTAACAATGATGTGAGAGAAGAAATATTGAAGTTAAATCATTTAAGACGATTGCAAAAATAAATATTCCTATTATAACCTGAAATAATAGTTCGTGAAGATATGTAACCGGTAACTTTAATAAGTTTAAATCATGCTAAGAATAAATATTTTATCACGGTAAGTTCGTCATCCAAAAAGGAATGGAATTTGAAAAACTTGATCGTGATAACAAACGGTGGTCCGTGTTATTCATTATTGAGTCAAGAATATGCTGATAAGAATTAACTGAAAAATCAAGATTTTTTCCACATTAATAAGTTTAACTTTGAGTAAGAACTTAAACGTGGCATCAAATAAATAAAGAAAAATAAAAACCCAGATTAAATAGCGGAGAATTGAAATGCGCCATTTAAAACCGCAAAAATATGCGACCTATTCAGCTACTTTAATTAGTTAAGATTCACAGCTGCGTGGTCAATAATAGTTGTATCATACAAGGATAAATTAAAATAAAAGTAAACAATTAATGTTAATGATATTTATAATTCGGATTACACACCAATGAAACTCTATACAATTGACAAGCTACCATAGATGCTAACAATATGCAACAACAACAAAACGATAAATTAGATGCATCAAACCAGGTTAAATTGTACATTTTCAAAAACTGAGTAAATGGTAAAACTAAATTACATCCTATTCCTAGCTGATAAAACCGTCAACTTATGATACATCTTACAATCTGGGCATAATGAAATAAAATGATAACCAGTATATTGTTTACCTGTGAAATATAATCGTTAATATGGTCAAAATTAACTATTTGCCATTTTCAGTTTAATCCAGTATATAGTGATGAAGTCAAATGATAATTGTCGTATTTGATCCCAAATAATGATAAACAAGTGTGACATTCGTTAGTTTATCTTAATACTGATCTCAATGACCTAGATGGTCAGTGGGTGTCCCTTAACAACATTCTCATTGACTCCTATGACAGTGAGCTAGTTTCCATGTGTCGCTCACTTTGTGTAGTACTCTTGTTTCACTCCAGCGTTCTGTTGTCGTCATGTTAGTTGTACTGAAACACAAGGAAATATTTTATAGGTTCGTTTGTTTTTATAAATTGTAATTAACATTTTAAAGGGTTATTAAAAATGCAAGGTCAAGGTTGTTCATGAAACATTAGCATGATTTTAAACATCTGTAGATTAGTTCTTGGTGGAGCAACTAACAATATCATATAATCTGCACTAATTTTCTCTAAAAACTAGTTAATTATGATAAATCGCTCAGCTTACCTGTTTGTGCACTGGACTAGACGAATATAGCTGACAACAGCAGCGTCAGCTCCGAGCAGTTGCACGTGCGGCGCTATCATCGTGCAATTTACTTTTGGTCTGTCCCGTTCTGTGGGGAAATTTCTAGTTATATTATATTGGGGCGGTTTTTATCATATTCACATTTTGTAAGTTCACTCGTTTGAGCTGTGATTGATTATTATACATAGTACTTTTAAAGGGAATAACGCTACATAAAGTGTTCAAACTAAATCATCATCCGCTCAAATAACTGCAATTATAGGGAATGAATTAGTAGACTTACTGGAGTTCTCAAACATGAACTGATGAAACTGCGTCCCCTCAATAAGCTGCCCTTTTGTTTCAGGTTCAAAACAGGTCATAGTAGGTAACACCATCTCTCTGATAATGGTTATTAAATATATTGAATAAAACTCACATTAGATATTCCAATCAATTTTATTCAGTTTGATTTAAGGTTGATTAATTAGTCTCTAGTTTCGAATGTTCCTGATAATAAGCTCCTAACTCACTGATAAGCATCAAGATCCCCAACACAGATGTAATAAAGGAGAGAATGGACTTTTGAGAGGACCTCTTTCTTCGTCAACAACACCGCCTCTGCAACCAATTTGAAGTTGAAATTGATGAGAAAATATGAGCATACCAGCTGAGCTTCACAGCTTAATTGGCAATTAAGTGCCAATTAAGTGCCAAGCCCAAAATTGAACAACAGAAATCTGGAAATCATACGCCTCTTTATCCCAGTATCATTGAATTACTGACACCAATTTATTTGCAGGCCTGGGAACCAGCCTGCATTTCTACACGACACCAGAGTCAAAGTAATTACCAGCTATTATTATAGGCCACTGTGAGACCACTTACAGCGGTTAACAACATTTCTCTGGCCATGCCAAGATTGTTTAAGTTAAATATGTAATTAATGTTGGTTATATTTTGTATGATGGGACATTTTATGGCCAAATTTTAATTAATTACGAAATCCATGCAATCCAATTGACTGGGCCAAAAAGTGTGTGATTCGCTTTTTAAAATGATCTTACCGTCGACGTCTTCGAATATGGGCGGCTGACTTATCTGAACAACCTGAGATAATTTAAGTGACTTTTCTGAAGAAAAATAAAGGTATCCTGACAAATGCTTCTCCGACAGCTCAAGAAATAATTTAAATCGTGACATATTGACGATTGGAAGTGTCGAGACTGAGTTTGTCACTAAATATTTTCCCAGGAAGTAATCAAGCAATAACCAACGATGAACATAAATGTGCTGAAAACATGATGGTCAAGCAGATTAGGATGCATTAAACATTTTACAAAAATGCGCAATGCTCAAACCAATTATTAGATGAATTAAACAGAAAACACTAACTAATTAACATCTCCATTGTTTGAAGATAAATTCAGAATTTTTCCAGAGACAATAATTTAAAATTGGATGCACACAGAATAAAAAGTGATAAAATGCTGATACCGGTTTTTTCCCCCAAAAAAGCAGTGGTTTTTCTTCTAGAACTTTTGATGTTCATCGTCAAAAACGTTGAGAAAAATAGATTATTAGGTTGACCGTTGGGTCGACGTGGTTTATCAGTATTTTAGGTTAGCCAACGTTAGCGGCCACCCCAAGTAATTCAAGAGTGAGGCACCCTGGCTACGTGCCTGTCAAGAGTGAGGCACCCTGGCTACGTGCCTGTCAAGAGTGAGGCACCCTGGCTACGTGCCTGTCAAGAGTAAGCAGCCGAATTGGGAATTTCAGGTTCAATATTTGCTTATCTTTCTCTAATTTTTGCCAAATAAATCCGGCTGATAAATTTGGATAACTTCGATTATGATAAAACAAAATTTGCTAAAATACATATGATGAGCTGCAATAGCAAAACTACGAGATAAAAAAGAATATTGGACCATTTGGCTGGTAGCAAACACATAAACACTTACATCAGCTTGATTCATGGAACTAGAGCTTTTAGAAATGTCTAGCATTTCTAGAAACTTCTAGAACCAGAAAATAATGAAACCCAGGAGCATAACAACAGTATTAAGCGTGCAGGCGGGATCTGACAAGGAAAAAACGAGGAGCTTAGCGAGGGGGCAAGCGTGCTACATTTCATGCAGAGAGTATGTCACACTCGAGCAGTGTTACATGTCACACTTGAGCAGTGTTACATGTCACACTCGAGCAGTGTTACATTTCACACTTAAGCAGTGTTACATGTCACACTTGAGCAGTGTTACATGTCACACTTGAGCAGTGTTACATGTCACACTTGAGCAGTGTTACATGTCACACTTGAGCAGTGTTACATGTCACACTTGAGCAGTGTTACATGTCACACTTGAACAGTGTTACATTTCACACTTAAGCAGTGTTACATGTCACACTTGAGCAGTGTTACATGTCACACTTGAGCAGTGTTACATGTCACAATTGAGCAGTGTTACATGTCACAATTGAGCAGTGTTACATGGCACAATTGAGCAGTGTTACATTTCACACTTGAGCACTGAGCAGTCACACGCGTGTGGTAATTACCTTGGACTGTGAATTGCCGAACTGTTGAGTGAAAAAGTTCATAGCAGACCGAGTGACGGTGCTGGGGGCTACTACGACGGCTGGGGGCGGCGTTTCCACTTCCTAAAATTGGTACAATGATCACCTGATCTTGGAACTGTCACGTGATTTTGAGTCCACGTGGTTTGTTGGGTTAAAATTGTGCTTTGCATCGTTCTTGATAATGATAAGTGTTAAGTTGTTTGAAATAAATATGTGTAAAATGTAAATGACAATCAGTTCAATTTAGCTGGGATTTATGGATAAAAATCCCAACTTTATATTATGGATATATCACATAAATTATTGGCTTATCAAATAACGACACTTCAACCCAGTGAATAAAATAAATCTTACACTCTAGCAATATCTCTATCAATCGCTACTTAAGTACGAACACAAGAAAGCAGTGTGTGATCCGAACGAATAAACAATTCGGACATAATTAATATTATTACACAATTAATAGCCGCTGCCCGCTATCAATTTTAATGTAATCAAATATCAATCGGTGCGTTAAACTTTCTGTTTTTGAAAAGAAACTGTTGGTCCCTATCCTTCAGGTTACCTCCCGGATAATATCGTTACTTCTCAGTGAAATGTGTTGTACTCCAGACCCGCCGTTATAGTCAATGTAATCCTGAATCTGTAGGTAACCTAGTAACCACACCTAGTAACCTATAGAATCTTTCTTTTGCTTGGAGCGGGTTCGCTGTTTAGCATCTTGATAGTTTATTGATATTCAGCAGGACAAATGCTGTATTCAGTATGAATCTCAAAATGGTCCAGAAGCGATGGACCACAATCCTTGAGACTGCTCTAGTTTAATTACAAGAAGAATAAGCAAACATCTTGAATTCCATTTTTGAAGTGTAGTTGTCAACTGCCTGTTTGGCATTGTCAAAGGCGATTTGATGAAAGGAGAGAAATATCCTAATAACACCACCTGTGCTAGCGTATCTCTCTCTCTCTCTCTCTCTCTCTCTCTCTCTCTCTCTCTCTCTCTCTCTCTCTCTCTCTCTCTCTCTCTCTCTCTCTCTCTCTCTCTCTCTCTCTCTCTCTCTCTCTCTCTCTCTCTCTCTCTCTCTCTCTCTCTCTCTCTCTCTCTCTCTCTCTCTCTCTCTCTCTCTCTCTCTCTCTCTCTCTCTCTCTCTCTCTCTCTCTCTCTCTCTCTCTCTCTCTCTCTCTCTCTCTCTCTCTCTCTCTCTCTCTCTCTCTCTCTCTCTCTCTCTCTCTCTCTCTCTCTCTCTCTCTCTCTCTCTCTCTCTCTCTCTCTCTCTCTCTCTCTGTTCAACGGTTTACGGTGCTAGCGTAACATGACATATCCTCAGAAGCTGTTCTTCAAACCAACGTGGCTATAAAACTATAAGACAGAAATAGCAATGAAACAAATACCTTGTTTATTATCATCTAGGTAAGTAAAGAAGAATTTGAAAGCGTATGGAATATGGATCACGACGAAGCTTTGTGTACGAACGCCGAATAATCGACCAAAGAAAATAGCAAGTAAATTAGTTAGATACGGTGTACTAAGATTAAGATACAAGATACAGCATACTAAAATACAGTGTACCAAAATTAAGATACAAGATACAGTATACAAAGATATAATATATTTGAGGAAGAACGATTTAAGTAAAGAAAGCAGCAATTAGAGGATATAATTGACATAATGAAGTCCTGTGACAGTGCTCTCCTGCGTGTCTATACCTCTGTGACAGTGCTCTCCTGCGTGTCTATACCTCTGTGACAGTGCTCTCCTGCGTGTCTATACCTCTGTGACAGTGCTCTCCTGCGTGTCTATACCTCTGTGACAGTACTCTCCTGCGTGTCTATACCTCTGTGACAGTGCTCTCCTGCGTGTCTATACCTCTGTGACAGTGCTCTCCTGCGTGTCTATACCTCTGTGACAGTACTCTCCTGCGTGTCTATACCACTGTGACAGTGCTCTCCTGCGTGTCTATACCTCTGTGACAGTACTCTCCTGCGTGTCTATACCTCTGTGACAGTGCTCTCCTGCGTGTCTATACCTCTGTGACAGTACTCTCCTGCGTGTCTATACCTCTGTGACAGTGCTCTCCTGCGTGTCTATACCTCTGTGACAGTACTCTCCTGCGTGTCTATACCTCTGTGACAGTGCTCTCCTGCGTGTCTATACCTCTGTGACAGTACTCTCCTGCGTGTCTATACCTCTGTGACAGTGCTCTCCTGCGTGTCTATACCTCTGTGACAGTGCTCTCCTGCGTGTCTATACCTCTGTGACAGTGCTCTCCTGCGTGTCTATACCTCTGTGACAGTGCTCTCCTGCGTGTCTATACCTCTGTGACAGTGCTCTCCTGCGTGTCTATACCTCTGTGACAGTGCTCTCCTGCGTGTCTATACCTCTGTGACAGTGCTCTCCTGCGTGTCTATACCTCTGTGACAGTGCTCTCCTGCGTGTCTATACCTCTGTGACAGTACTCTCCTGCGTGTCTATACCTCTGTGACAGTACTCTCCTGCGTGTCTATACCTCTGTGACAGTACTCTCCTGCGTGTCTATACCTCTGTGACAGTGCTCTCCTGCGTGTCTATACCTCTGTGACAGTGCTCTCCTGCGTGTCTATACCTCTGTGACAGTGCTCTCCTGCGTGTCTATACCTCTGTGACAGTGCTCTCCTGCGTGTCTATACCTCTGTGACAGTGCTCTCCTGCGTGTCTATACCTCTGTGACAGTACTCTCCTGCGTGTCTATACCTCTGTGACAGTACTCTCCTGCGTGTCTATACCTCTGTGACAGTGCTCTCCTGCGTGTCTATACCTCTGTGACAGTGCTCTCCTGCGTGTCTATACCTCTGTGACAGTGCTCTCCTGCGTGTCTATACCTCTGTGACAGTGCTCTCCTGCGTGTCTATACCTCTGTGACAGTGCTCTCCTGCGTGTCTATACCTCTGTGACAGTGCTCTCCTGCGTGTCTATACCTCTGTGACAGTGCTCTCCTGCGTGTCTATACCTCTGTGACAGTGCTCTCCTGCGTGTCTATACCTCTGTGACAGTACTCTCCTGCGTGTCTATACCTCTGTGACAGTACTCTCCTGCGTGTCTATACCTCTGTGACAGTGCTCTCCTCTGTGTCCTATGAGCGTCTTATCGCTCTTTCTCGGCTCTACCACATCGCCCTTATGTTACTCCATTAAGAACAAATGGGCTGAAATTTAACGAAACCCACACAAGCAAGCGTAACAACACAACATACTCATATAATAGGACTGTATGCTGTAGGATGATTAATTAGATAAACTGCAGGGGTTACTGCAATAGCTATAGTTACTGATCATTGCTACAAGGTTGTAGTTTAATATCACATGGAAGTCACGTGTACCAATTACCAGGGGCGGTAGGTCAACGTGAAATTGTTTTGGTTAACAGATGAAATGTACGAAAGTACAGTCTCCTAATGTTGCTCCAACTTTAGCTAGTATCTATATATAGTATATACTGTATATACTATATACTATAGTCTATATATAGTAGTAGCTGTATTTACAAAGGCGGCTTTGGTGGCTGGTAGAAGAACTATCCTCGTAACAAGCACAGGTCGGATCACATTTAAACTTATGTGATAATATTCCAGTTTTAATACACCATCAACCCTGCCGCCAAGGATGTTGTTGTCGTCTCATTTCTGACCATTAGACGATCACGTAGTCGGAACAAATGACAAATCAACCATTGGCGGCAGTGCCACACGGCAGCTTAGGTAGTACGGTTGATGTCGCAATTCAAGAATCTGAGAGCTTCATGTTTAGAAACAGAATTGGATTATGCCCTGATCAAACACAAAATATCAAATAAAAGCGAACTTTTGTGACGGTAGAATTTAGCTACAGTTTGCTTCATATTCTGAGCTCTGAGCGATAATACTCTTCTTTATAATAATACTCTTCTTTCCACAATGATTTATAGAAGTCTTTCAATATCTCGTGCATATCCCAGAGTGTCCGCCTAAGTGAAAGGAGGTCTTCAGTCAACTTCTTTCACCATATGGGAGCAGTTCCCCAGTTCCATACAGATAGCTACTATCTTCGATATGATGGTAACCAGCCACCAGGTAACCAGGTAACTGTCTCTACTTTCCAGAATGGATGGCTACAGATGGCTACTATCTTCGATATGTAACCAGGTAACCAGGTAACCAGGTCTCTACTTTCCAGAATCTTGATATCTGTCCAAGGTTTTTGCTCCAACTCAGTTTATCCTCTTCAATTTCAGACACAGATGTCTGGTCTACAAACGAGAAAGAAAGTTCATTTCAAACATTTGGAGCCAAAACTAAACCGCTCAAACACAACAAGTTGGTTATGATATAAAAGGAGGGTATACAACAAGTTGGTTATGATATAAAAGGAGGGTATACAACAACAAAAAGAGTAAAGAATTATGATAAGCAGTGTAGTAAGCACTGATAAGTACTGCAGTAAACTCTAAACTGAGTAAACTACACGAGATAGACATTATTATCGGCTCGACCAATGGTCTTAGTAGTGGCTACAGTTATTGAGTTACCCGAGCTAGATAACTTTAACGTGATAATATGAGTATTATGTTGACTGTAAAATCATCGGTTTTGACACGTGCGCGCGGCTTTTAGGCAATCATAATACCGTTGCTGACAAAATAGCTACTGTTTATCCGTCCGAACACGAAAAGACTCCCAATTACTTAGATAAAAATACAATAGATAATACTGACCCGACTATACCGATTGGTGACCCTATTGTCCAGACTACAATCACCGAAAGAGCCAAGATACCCTCTCAACTTGGTGGAGGTCCGATCCACCACAATACGGTGCGTGTGTAAGATTGTAAAAACTTAAAACGAGTGTAAACGAAGGGTTTAAATTTAAGGAG